GAAAAAAAGAGAAAAAAGGAGTCAAAGAACTAGTTATTTGCAGATGATAGGATTATATAACAAGAGAAAAACAGAACTATCAGGGAGGTCAGAGACAAAATAAACATCCAAAACTCAATAGGAGTCCTATTTATTTGCTACAACACGTGCACATGTTTGACAGGGGAAAAGCAATCCAATTTTCAGCAGCCAAAGTACAAACTACCCAGGAAGACGCCCCACAAGAATTATGCAGGACCTGGAGTAAGCTACAAAACTTGGCTGATAAATTTTATGAACTCTGAAATATGATATACATTCTACATCAATATTATGACATTCTGATGTGGAATCCTAGGCTTAGACAGGTCACAGATTTGCCTAGGATGGCTCAGTTTGTTACTAAATAATCAAAGCCAGAACCCAGCCTTGGCAACTTTCTGGGATCAAGAAACCAGAAGCTGCATTGACCTGGCCCACCACTGGCATCTTCAAGGAGCTTTACTGTACTGAAATTTAGTCCCACTGCAGTTGAAGAATATTCTTATTTAGAGTCAGGTATGGTGGCTCATGACTGTAATTCCAACACTTTGGGAGGCCGAGGGGGGCAGATCATTTGAGGTCAGGAGTTTGAGACCAGCCTGGCCAACATGGCAAAACCCCATCTCTACTAAAAGTACAAGCATTAGCCAGGCGTGGTGGCAGGTGCCTGTAACCCCAGCTACTTGGAAGGCTGAGGCAGCAGAATCGCTTGAACCTGGGAGGTAGAGGTTGTAGTGAGCTTAGATCATGCCAATGCACTCCAGACTAGGAGACACAGTGAGACTCCATCAAAAAAAAATAAATAAATAAATAAGGTTAATATGCTTATTTATTCCCCCTCCCCAAAGGAGCCTTGGCGCATAACATTTCAGTGGGATGCATGACAGCAACCTCTGTTCTGATGTGTGTGTGTATGTGCTTTCTTCCTCTCTCTGCTCTTCCTGCCCCCTGCTATCCTACTGGCCTCATTTTAGAGCTAAATCCTGTGAACTTCATTTTCATTCTGAGCTATTCACCTCTGACCTTTACTAAGAACTCAGGAGAGCTTTTCTCTCATCCTTCATTGGCAAATCATCTGAGTGAGCAGTTACACATTCTTACATGAGTAAGAACACAGCATCAGCTTTGAGGAACTGCCAGGAGAAAGGCATTCCTTCCGGGTCACAACCTATCACAGACAGAAATCAGGCACCTCTCCCTGATGTGCAGAAAAGTTTAAATAAAATAACGCCCTCCCGCTCCTAACCCTCACAGAAGAAAGCCCTACCAAGCAGAAATGTCTTCCCAGGAAGAGAAGGTAAGTTAGTTAATTAATTAGTTAGTTAACACATATTCTGGGTAGAAAATCTATCCTGTTTTTAGCTAACAATAAAGGAAGCCTGGCCTGACATTTCAGCTCAGGGTTTAAAACATGAACTTATTCTTTTGCCTTTCTTGCACTTTCCAAAAACTCACAGGTTTTGAAGTCAAAGCTTCATGGGTACTCAGAGACCCCAGATCCCAAAAAAAGGCACCAGAAGGCTGCAGATGATGCTTCGGGAGCAGACCAAAACTACCCTTGGCACTTTTGTTCCTTCCTGGGGGCAAAGGGATTGGTTTTACTGCAGGATGAAACTGAAGTTTCAATAGAATTTCCTTTGTCAACAATGTCCGTGGGTGAAGTCTTTTTAAAGCCCTTAACACAAAATAATTTTCCACCATATGTGATACCCAACAAAATAATTTCCATCGAAACCTTAAATCAGCCAAGTATGAATAAAGTCAAAGGAGGAGTACTGGTAAGGATGGGAGAAATGCCCCCAAGGAAGCTAAAGAACACGTGTGTATCCCTGGAGGCCTCAGAAGAGGGTTGGGGTTTTCAAAAATGAGGTGTTTTCCAGTTTACGACCAGCAGATGGCAGAATAAATCAAGAAAAGAAGCCAGGCTCCTTTCGTTCCTTAGATCACTTTCAAAGGTTCCTAATCAGTCAAGGGGAAAAATACCCTTTTCATTCAAACAAGTTGCTGGGGAGGGAGTAGGGGAATTATGGGCTTCAAATAATAGTGGGTATAGGTTTAGTGTCGGTTAGTTAAAAAACATATACCATATGACGAAAGTTACAATGAACTCATTACAACTTTTGAAGAAATTTATATTTTCATAATCATGCAAAAGCATCTGTGCACATTTGAAGCATAGAAACATGGTAGAAAATGTGTGAAGACAATCCACTCCAAGACAATCCTTGGCACACTTATACATTCCCAGACCTTGGCAATAACATTGGCTGCTACAGTTACCATTATTAGCATTATCACTGTCACTACTATCAACATTATTACTCATATCACAATGATGTATCTGCTAAACATTGAGAACTTCAGAAATGAGGTCTCCTTAAAATAATTCATCTCTGCAGAGAATGGTGTCACCCCGTTGGGTTGGGGGGGGGCATCTAGTCATTCATAATGTCCCTCGGGGGTCCTGAATCCACAAGATTCATTACCCATCATCCACAGGATTCACCATCCACACATCATCCGCAAGATTCACCATCCACCCATCATCCGCAAGATTCACCATCCACATATCATCCGCAAGAGTCCCTGTCCACTCATCACCCGCAAGATTCACTGTCCACCCGTCATCCACAGGATTCACCGTCCACCCGTCATCCACAGGATTCACCGTCCACCCGTCATCCACAGGATTCACCGTCCACCCGTCATCCACAGGATTCACTGTCCACCCGTCATCCACAGGATTCACCGTCCACCCGTCATCCACAGGATTCAACACTGCTTTCTTCAGCCCCTGTTTCTTCCTCACTCCCACTCAGCAGTTTGCTGAAAGCCTGGAGAAGCTGAGCAAAGTTAAAAGGACAGAGTGGATCAAAAGTCTCCACTTTCTGCCTAGCTAAGTGTCAGAACTGCAAAACTTGCTTGTTACAAATCAGAAGGACTCCGCGTTGTGTTGACTTTAATGCAGAAAGTATCATGTAAAACTGCGCCTCTGTAGGAATGAAGAGTTTCCTAATGAGAAAATATTTGTAGTTGTCAAGAGTACAAGATCTGGAGTCCCAATATGTGGGTCGGGAGATAGATATTTCTGTGAATATCAGCTGTGTGATTTTGAGCAAGATACTTAACCTCTCTAAGCTTCTGTTCCCCACTTGCAAAAGAGAAAGCGTATTTCTTGTTCCCTGGAGTTTTGTGAGATAATCTACATAAAGCACTTAAGGCAGCACCTGGTACACAGCAATGCTCATTAACGCCGGCTGCTATAGTGACTATCATTGGCATTATTATCATTGTCACTGCTACCATTAGTGTTACTTGTATCAAAATAATGTATCACTAAACATTGGGAACTTCAGAAATGAGGTCTCCTTTAGGGAATTCATCTCTGCAGGGAATGGTGTGACCCCATGGGTAACATCTAGTCATCCATAATGTTCCTTGGTTTTCAGTATTTCCAAAGTATCCTAATAAAGCAAGGGTGACATTTCTTCCTTGGCAATGTCAACACAAGACCTCCTGACATACTAAAGAGCTCAGACAATGAAACATCTTGGGGGAACTGCCTTCCACCACCACGAGCATTGGAGCCGCCATCCCTGAAGTGGTCACTCTGGGCAGAGGATAATGACTCTGAACTGTCTCTGCAGGGGACGTATGGATGCATGGGTATATGAGTATGGAGATGTCTGTACTGGGCTTCAGCATTTTAAAAAAAACTGAAAATCTGAACCCACGTCAATGATACTTGGTCTTAAAACTTCCTTCCCAAAGGTCTGATATTGGTAGAAATAACATTCTCCTTTTTATTGCACACTTTCTCACCTTAAATAACAGGGAGCCTTTGCTACAGTCTAGCCTGTGAGAACAATACAGAATAAACTTAAAGAGGTATCCTTCCTGGGCTTCACCCAGCCATTCCTTTCCTAAAGTGGCCAGGAGTCACTACAGGTAGAGATTTTACTGAGACACCAGATGCATATGTGGGTGCAGACAGGGGGAGACAGAACATTCACCAGAGGTGAGAATTCGTGGCATTAATTAATTTTGTATTGAAGTGGTAAATATGGGGCAGTTAATGTGACTGACATTGAACTATCTGTGCCATGGTATTTCAGGTGCCACTGCATAGCCCATGGCCACCCACTTACTTCCCATTCACAACCTGATGAGCTTGCTAAGTACAGTTCAAGAAGGGAAACAGCAGAGGGGTAAATGCTCAGTTTAGTGAATAATGTGGCCTTGGGGAAGCATGGTTAAGGTCCTGCCCTGATCCATCTTGAGGGTTGCAGAGGAAAGTTTCAAAGAGGCATTCCTAAAGCACAACAGCGTGGATGGCCCATCTCATTTGTCCCAGGACCAGGAGGAGGAGCAGTAACATGAATTGAGGAAGTAGCCCCACAAAGATGTGAACAGCAATTTTCTAATCCTCCACTGATTTTTTTTTCCTCTAAAAAACACTCCTGGCTGACCATGGACCATACTGATCAACCCTCCAAAGTAATATTAGGTGAAAGAATTACAACAGGGCTCTATTAGTCCTGGCATGGAAAAGCTTCTAAGGTCAAATTAAAAGCTCAACACCCGGGCTTTGGACTAGTTCAGGAATCTTAGCAGTAAGAGCCCTAGGCCCTTTCTCTGGGCAGCCACTCTTAATGAGACATCACTTTCTGCTAATTTCCATTAAAGGTTCAAGTTCTTGGAAAAATGGCCCAACTGACCGTCCTAAGTCAAATGTCTCCATCCTTGCATGAAACAGCTCTCGCCAGGAGATCAGGGTATCGAGGAGCCAGCACAATACAGACACAGCCACCAGGGGAGCTATGGAGTCTCTGGCAGCCATGACAAGCTGTGATGCTGACACCAGCCTTGGCACTCATTCCCGGCCATATTTCATTCTTATCTTCCCTCTGGCTCCCTCCCAAAAACAGTCCCCACAACTGTCACCCTGATGTGAGGGAAGCCTGTGCTCACTCACTTACTTATCATTCACAAGTTTCCCATGTTGGTGGATCTGATTTTCCATCGTGAAGTTGATTGTGGCGCCGTACACATGCTCACCAAAAAATACCTTCATTTTAGACTTGTATTCTTCATCTTGAAAATAGCGGATCATATCAGGAAACCAAACTGTCAGTCCATAGTAACTGGAGTGGAGAAGGGAGAAGGTTGGAGCAACAACAAGATTAATTCTTTCATGATCAGAGTCTACATTCTTGACTTGAAGATCAAACTCACTGAAAATACATTAATTTGGTTCATTATTAGAAAATCTGATAATATAAATCTTCATATTAATAGATACAAGAGGAAAAAATATGACCACCTCCATAAATGCTGAAAAGGTATTTGATTTAAAAGAATTTTTTTTCCTGATAAAAACACCAATAGATTAGGGGTTGGTGGACACCTCCTTAACACATAAAATATACATGTCTCAGACAGAATCTTAGTGAATAGGGAAACGCTAAAGACATCCCCACTGGCCGATACGGTGGCTCATGCCTGTAATCCCAGCACTTTGGGATGGTGAGGAAGGCAGTTCACTTGAGGTCAGGAGTTCGAGACCATCCTGGCCAACATGGCAAAACCGCATCTCTACTAAAAATACAAAAATTATCCAGGTGTGGTGGTGCATGCCTGTAGTCCCAAATGTGTAAAGGAGGCCACTGAGACACACGGAATTATGAAATTTAAGTAAGACAGAACTTACCTTAATGCCATGGCAAACCAAACCACGGCCAGAATCAGTGTATTCATTCTGTAGGGCCCCATCACACAGTACAAGGCATTATCCCAGACCTACAACCCGTAACAGAGAAGGATTGTTAAAGAAAGCAATGTATGACTTTGTTTCTCCCACAATCAACGAGCTCATTACTCAGATTTTCTAATAAGTTGCCTAGGAACCCATGAAGAGAATGGGCACCCCACTGTCTCCTAAAGGCAGCAAATCTCTCCAAATAACAAGGAAAGCCTCTTCTCTTCTAACTGGCTGGCCTCATACTCTAACAGTCCAATAGGATTTTCCCTGGGAACACAATATTCCGTGAATGTGATTGAAAGCACACTGAGTCAGGACTTCAAGGCACGGAGTAACCTGGACTACTGAGTTCTACGCCCTGCCTGTGGGCAAGGGGGATATTGCAAACATTTATTGACCATACACTGCGAAGACCATTCAGTCCCAACAGACTCTGGCTGCCTGGCTGCCTCAGTGCTCAATAGCTGACTGAATCCCTACTTGGAGGAGCCAGTGCTCCAGAGAAATGGCATTGCCCATTTAGAAAAACATTTCTTGGAAATCAAGAACAAGCCTCAAGGGATTGTTTATTTCACTCACTTCTTCCTCCCTGTGGATTATTTTAAAATTTGCTAGAGAGAAGATGTTTACTCAGACTAGACATTTTACCTACATTCAAAATCCCTGCCTTGGGAAGGAAGAACAAAGAAAAGAAACTAAGATTTAGAGAGTTTTCAGCTCCAGGGCACACAGCAAGCTAGAGGCAGACGTGGGCTGGAGCCCAAACGCCCCCTTCCAGGGTTGATTCCTCTCCAACACGCTGCCCCAGGTTGGTGGGGATGTTCAGGATCTGCATTTTTCATCCACTAAGGTTAGAGACTCCCATAGAGCCACCTTCTCACCCAAAGTAAGTTCCCAGTCACACCTGCTTGAAAATGGTCTTGAATCTGACCAGCCAGCGCTGGTACCAGGTTCCTGTTGAACTTTGGATCTCAATGAATTCATCCATTTGCTTGGGAGTTTTGATGTTGGAAACCTGAAAAGTAAAAATAGGATATAGAGAATCTGAACCCCACTTTGTGTCAGAGTTTTCAATGTGTAGTTTAATGTAACTATTTAAACTGATTTAGGAATAGAGGAGTCTTTGATTTCTCAAAGAGCGCACGCGAAAAAAAATCAAAACCAGTTTCCATCACCTCCTCCAATAAACTTTTCATCTAGGGATAAAGACAAGTCATAGAGTGTCTCCATCTCTTTCTTCAGCCGAAGGACTGAGGATATGAGGAGATAACAGAAGAAAAATACAGATGGGACTGGACAATCCGTGGGGAGAAAGCAGCCCCTGGAAAGTGGACAACCGACTCATCATTTCCAGAGCACTAGTCTAAGACAGCTTGGCTATTCTTTTTTAAACCGAAAAAACAAGTGTTTTGTTTTGTTTTGTTTTTTGAGACAGAGCCTCACTCTGTCGCCAGGCTGGAGTGCAGTGGCACCATCTCGGCTCGCTGCAACCTCCACCTCCTGGGTTCAAACAATTCTCCTGCCTCAGCCTCCCGAGTAGCCGGGACTACAGGCGCGCACCACCACACCCAGGTACTTTTTTTGTATTTTTTAGTAGAGACAGGGCTTCACCATGTTGGCCAGGATGGTCTCGATCTCTTGGCCTCGTGATCTGCCTGCCTCGGCCTCCCACAGTGCTGGGATTACTGACGTAAGCCACTGCACCCAGCCAAAACAGTGGTTCTTAAGCTTTTGGGAGGGCTAGATGCCCATTTGAGAATCTGCTAAAGGCATAGACTCTCTTCCCAGAAATGTCAAGGACATGACCACACTGTGAGCCTCCTGGACTCATCTTGCCACTCCCAGCTATGCAGCCTTTGCAAATGATCTTCCGCCTGAGGTCAGACACGGAAGCGTCAGAACTAACAGCAGACTCTGCAGCAGAACTCTTGGCTGGAGCTGGGTTTCAAGCTAATCAATACCTTCATGGATGTTATGAACCCCAGCGACAGCCAAAGGAGGCTAAAGGGGAAGTTAACACCAACTCAGGAAGCACCTCAAAAACCACACCCCAAAGCCTTAAGTTATCCTCTCAAATGCTGATTTTTCCTTTCTTTGCTCCTTGGGGAAAATATCACTGTCTTCCTTTGGGATTAGGGAGTGGGTGTGTTGACAACTTCAAGCACAGTTACTCACTCTAATTTACGATTCATTAGAACAATTGTCTATGATTCAGTCTAAATTAGAATATGGCCTGTGTTACCCCAGACCTGCAGATCGTGGGTTCTCAACCGAATGCTTCAACTCCTTCTCCTTCCAAAGGTTTCACTGCGAGATTGTGACGCAGCCAACAGGGCTGGTAAAATCTAGAGCTCACAGCACAGGCATCAACTAGAGTCTGACTGCCCTAAGCTCTCCCTCCAGGCCACTGAATACATCTGTGAGCATGTCTGCTGATGGGGCACACGCAGGAGTAAGACAGGCAAGGCCATCAAGCTGGGCTGAGGACCCGCCCCTTATCGCCAACCACAGGCCAGCTCTCTCAGGTCAGTTACCACTTTCTGGTTATCTCTCTTCTTTCATTTCTTTTTCTGGCCCATCCAGTCATTTACTTCTACATCATTAATATAATCATCAGGTCAGTATAAAATACTGAGCCCATAACCTTTTTTAAGTCCCTCTTCCTGTTGGGTTAAAACTAAAAGCAGAAGTTATGCCTCAGAACCTAGTAACTGGCATGCATGCTGGGATAAGACCAACTCCAAAACTTCATAACTCTCCACACATTGATTTCTGCCTGAACTTCCTTCCTCCAGGTGCACTCCCACCCCGAAAATGAGGAACTCTGATCCTGTTGTAAAAGGCTTTTGTGTCTGAAAATTGGCATTTTGATTGATTTCCTAGCTAAGATCTCATTCTTCAGCATTCGGCGGCTGCATTTGTTAAAATAACTAAACGGGAGGCCACTCAACGGAGGTGGCTCTAATGCCCTGGGTTGCCACATTATCAAGCAGAAACCTAACTCAGAATTTTAAAGAAAATGAAACAAGCTCAGCCAACCCCAGTTGGCTGAGTGGGCACTGGCTATATTATCTTGAACTTCCCACTGGAATAATCCAAATGAGGCAATCATTCAAACTCTAACCCAGCAAATACTTTCTCTTCTCTGCCTCCATGTTCGACTTATAAAAGCCTCTCTCTCTGCTCCTTTGGTAAAGCCCTGACCCACTTCCAGTGTGAGCTACCTGACTGATGCATCACTGTCTCCGTAAATAAACTCTCTAAAATTTTAATGTGCCAAAGTTTCTCTTTAACACAGTAGAATGCATTGTCAGGAGAGAATGTGGGATCACTTCTCCAAAAAAGGGGCTCCCAGTGGGGCAAGCCCGTTTGGTTGGTGTAGAAGGGGTCCTGCCAGAAGCAACAGTTAGGAAATGCCTGGCTGAGCACCACTGCACCACTGCGTGGAACCTTCTGTACAAGACGCCCTAGGGCAAGATGCGAGTGGGGAGGAGCTGATAGTGTGCGTGGGCAGGCAAAGGCAGACAGGCAGAACAGGGTGGGGTGGACTCCTCCTGGGACAGTCTGTGCGTTTGAAATAAATCTGTTAATAACTGCTGGAGGCATGGGGAAATCCCAGAAAGACACTCTCAGATTTAAAACACTAGTAACCTACTATGCATAAGCAAGGAGAAAATGTTTTATTCCAAAGGGAGAAGAATAGAGAGAAGGCAGAGGAAAAGAGGTGGAGACACTGAAAGGGAGGAGGGGCAGGGAGAAAGGAAGGAGAAGGCTGCACTCTGCGATGTAATTCCTCTGTTCACAAATGTTCAGGAAGCCCATTCAACCCCAAACGCTTGGTATGAGTGATGTCTGTGTGTCTGTCTTAATGTGTGTCTGTGTGTCTGTGTGTGTGTCTTAATGTGTGTGTGTGTTTCTGTGTTTGTGTTCCTGTGTCTGTGTATCTCTGTGTCTGTCTTAATGTGTGTCTATGTGTCTCTGCATCTGCATGTCTGTTTTAATGTGTGTTTGTGTGTGTGTCCCTGTGTGTCCATGTGTTCCTGTGTCTGTGCGTCTTAATGTGTGTCTGTGTCTGTGTGTTTCTGTGTTTGTGTTCCCGTGTCTGTGTGTCTGTGTCTGTGTGTCTGTCTTAATGTGTCTGTGTCCGTGTGTCTCTGTGTTTGTCTTCTTGTGTGTCCCTGTGTGTCCATGTGTTCCTGTGTCTGTGACTGTGTGTCTTAATGTGTGTCTGTGTCTGTGTGTTTCTGTGTTTGTGTTCCCGTGTCTGTGTGTCTGTGTCTGTGTGTCTGTCTTAATGTGTCGGTCTCTGTGTCTGTCTTCTCGTGTGTCTGTGTGTGTCTCTGTGTGTCCATGTGTTCCTGTGTCTGTGTGTCTCTGTATGGGTGCCTATGTCTGTGTGTGTCTCCATGTCTTTGTGTATGTGCTTGTGTGTGCCTGTGTTTCAGGCCAGGTTGATGTAGTGCAAAAACCAATCCAGCCAATGTGGAGTCAGAGACTGGAGGCAGAGACAGAAGACCATGGAAACATCTTCCAGAAATAAGCAGGAGCTCGGAGAGAAACTTGGACTTCCTCTGGCCATGGAATGAGGCAGCAGGGGCAGAGTGGCAGGACTGAGCCAGGTACACCCAGAAGCCTCACCAATGTGTGGCTTCCACACCTGCAGCACAGCGGGAGCACTACAGGCCATCACAGAGTCGGCGGGGATGGAAGATGAGGAGAATCATTGTGACCCTTAACGTCTTCCATTTGGAGCATTTCTGTTCATTATGCTTCTTAATAAATGTTTGCAGTACATGTTCTCACTTATAAGTGGGAGTTAAATGATGAGAACTTATGAACACAAAGAAGGGGACAACCAACACTGAGGGGTCTACTTGGTGGTGGAGGGTGGGAGGAGGGAGAGGGGCAGAAAAGATAACTATTGGGTGCTGGGCTTAATACCTGGGTGACAAAATAATCTGTACAACAAACCCCTGTGACACAAGTTCACCTATATAACAAACCTTCACATGTACTCCTGAACCTAAAATAGAAGTTATAAAAAAAAAGAAGGAAAAACATTGGTCCCATATTTCAGATATTTTAGAAGCAGTAGAATTGAGAAAATATCCCACTGATGAATTTTCCATAAAATCTATAACTTGAGTTAATTTATGAAAAAATGTCATAATTTAAATAATGATTAACATCTGTCTAGCACTTACTCCAAGCCAGGCACTGGTTTTTGTTGTTGTTGTTGTTGTTGTTGTTGTTGTTGTTTTTGGTATTTTATTTAATCCTTACAATAGCCACATTTATAGATATGATTATCCCTCTTTTCTCCATGAGAAAAATGAGGCACGGAGAGTACCTTGCCTAAGGCCACACAGCTAGAAAGTGTCAAAACTGGGATTTGATACTTTGGGTGCACATGCTTGGCCACCGTGTGATCCTGCCTGAAAAGCAGAGGTTTTAAGTAACAGGTTAACAAGGGTAAATGGTTTACTCGAAACTGAAATTATGGAAGCTAAAAAATCAAAAGCAGTGAATCAAAATTAGGTAGGAGTTACTCCAGGAAGGTTTCCTTGAGAAAATGGATTTGAAGTGGGGGAAGTTATAGAAACAGGCGCACAAAGATGCCTGTAGCCTCCTGGTATGTCAGAGCACGGCAGGCAGGAAGACGGCATCTCTGTAACTATCAGGCCATCGTCATGGAAATTACCATTTACCATTCTGTTTTGTTTATTTTTGTTTTGCTTTGTTTGCTTTTAAAACTGGCGAGAAACAAAATTCAGATTAATAGCCAATGATGGTAAGGGTGTAAGGAAATGGGTCCCCTATTGCCTGTGGCATTGTAGATTGGTACAACCCAGTTGAAATGTATTATGATTTGGCAATATATCTCAAGAGATATAAAAATATCCAAGCTCTCTGAGCCAGCACTTTCATTTCTGGGAGTCTACTCCTGGAAATAAAACACTCCTAGAACATGAAGTGGAAGGAACTATGTGCACAAGAAGGTTCATTGCACTAATATTTATAGGAACAAGGTAGTACAACTGGATAAATAAGCTTCTAACATTAGAGACATGTTAGGAAAACTGTGTTAATGTTCATAACACTACTGTTTATTAAAATGATGATTATGAATACTAGGAGACAACATGTAAAATGATAATGAGTGCTACAGTGTTAAATAATATGTACACATAAATATACATACATATGCTGATCCCCAGAGAAATCTGTTTATTTCTGTTACCATTTTTTTTTCAGACACAGTCTTGCTCTGTTGTCTAGGCTGGAGTGCAGAGGCACTATCTCAGCTCACTGCAACCTCTACATCCTGGGTTTAAGCAATTCTCATGCCTCAGCCTCCTGAGTAGCTGGGATTATAGGCACATTCCACCACACCCAGCTAATTTTTTTGTATTTTTAGTAGAGACGGGGTTTTGCCATGTTGGCCAGGCTGGTCTTGAATGCCTGACTTCAAGTGATCTGCCAGCCTTAGCCTCTGATGTGGTTTGGCTCTGTGTTCCCACACAAATCTCATCTTGAATTGTACTCCCATAATTCCCACATGTTGTGGGAGGGACATGATGGGAGATAATTTTAATCATGGGGGTGGTTTCCCCCATACTGTTCTCATGGTAGTGAATAAGTCTCATGAGATCTGATAGGTTTATCAGAGGTTTCTGCTTTTGCAAATTCCTCATTTTCTCTTGCCGCCACCATGTAAGAAGTGCTTTTCACCACCTGCCATGATTCTAAGGCTTCCCCAGCCACGTGGAACTGTAAGTCCAATTAAACCTCTTTTTCCTCCCAGTCTCGGGTATGTCTTTATCAGCAGCATGAAAATGGACTAATACAGCCTTCCAAAGTGCTGGGATTACAGGCATGAGCCACTGCGCCTGGCACCATTTTTAAAAACAACTAGCAACCTAAGGAAAAACCTTGAAGGATATCCATCAAAATGCAAAGAATAATTATTATAAAATAACAGCAATATCAGAGTCTTTATTCTCCTTTTGACAAATTTTCTGTTATGTGCTTAAATTACTTTTTAGCAAACCAAAGCAGTGAAGAGGAGAACCCCCTTCTTATTGGCAGGCAACCCCACACTCACTGTGAACACTTTCTCTGGGGTCCCCTTAGCTCTCATGTTGGTGTCATGGACTTGCTTGAGAATCATCCAGGCTTCGTCATGTTTTCCCATCTGGTGAAACCAAGGAAAGACACAGGAAAAATTCATTGCTGACTATGCCTTCTGTTCATTAGGGGTGGAAAATCCGACGAACTCAATGGGAAGGTTGATACGAGCATTCCTACCAGGTCTGAGGCAATTGCATGTGGACTCATTACCATCTAGGACCTGTGAAAGACCAGGACAAGCTTCCATCCCCAGCCAATCTTACAAGGATAATAAGGTCGTGCTTTCAAGGTGTAAATGCTAGGTAGTATTATCATTATACACTCTAAGTAACTAATCGCAGTTATTAGGTTCCTCACTGATGAGATAAGGCAAAGAAACAATGTGTTACAGGTTGAACTGTGTCCCCCCAAAAAGGATATGGTGAAGTCCTAATCCCCAGTACCACAGAGAGTGACTTTATTTAGAAATAGGGTTGTGGCAAGTGCAATTAGCTAAATTAAGATGAGGATATTCTGGAGTGGGTGGAGCCCTGATTCAACAGAACAGCTGCCCTTATAGGAAGACATCCATATGGAGACACAGAGGCATGCAGGGAGGATGCCATGTGATGATGAAGGCCACGACTGGAGTGATGCAGCTGCAAGCCAGGGAACGGTCAAAATTGCCGCAAACCACCAGAATCTGGAAGAGGCAAGGAAGGAGTCTCCCCTACAGTTTTCTGAGGGAGCATGACCTTGCTGCTGCTTTGATTTGGGACTTCAAGCCTCTGAAAGTGTGAGACAAATCTGTCTTTTAAAGTCACTCAGTTTGTGTCATTTTGCTACAGCAGCCCTAGGACACTCCTATCCGACCAAGGGTGCAAAACTCCCTGTTGCATCTGCCTCCTGATCAAAGGGGTGAACAGGGACATTCAACATGGAGGATCACTCTGCAGATGGCTTAGGAAGGAGGCAGATAAGTGGACTCTGCAGATTGGGGCTGGAAGAGCCTCAAGGTCCTGTTGCCCCTCTGCCTGCTCCTGTACTGTCTGACTTCTGCAAGCAGGAAGCTCCCCCGCTGTTGGAAGGCTCATGGGACTCATCTCTCAGGAAACAGATGCAGCTGTCTGGTGGCTGGGGACCCTGTGTAGCTAAGAGACCCGAAAGGCTTGGGAGCGGCAACAAGCTGTACCATAGCTCTTACTGCGAAACACAGAAAAACAGCAGCTCTAAAGACCTTCCTTCCTTCCTTCCTTCCTTCCTTTATTTATTGAGACAGGGTCTCTCTTTGTTACCCAGAGTGGAGTGCAGTGACACAACCATGGCTCTCTGCAGGCTTGATCTCTGGGGCCCAAGCAGTCCTCCCATCTCAGCCTCCAAGTAGCTGGGACCACAGGCATGCATGCACCAAATCACTCAGCTAATTTTTTTTTATTTTTGTAGAGATGAGGTCGCCCTATGTAGCCCAGGCTAAAAAACTTCCTAATCAGGACCTCAGGGGACAGTGGGTGCTGTGAGGCAGCTCAGGAGCTGCCTTCCACCACTGCACAGTCTTGGGAAGGAGCTCCTGCTCTGGGCTCCACAAGCTCTTGAATCTTCCAGCATTTACAGCCCGTGAATCCATGACCTGCCACCATCACAGCAGGCAGGGTGCCAGATTTAATGATGAGTGAGGTCAGCCAACCTGGGGGAGTCTGCAACGCGTAAGCAGCAGAGGATGTGGGACTAGGGACTGAGAGAAGGAAGCGAGGCTGGATTCCGGTGGCTGTTTTGTCGCTCTCCCCCTGGTGGAAAAGCACTGACTCACCTCTAGCAGAAACCGTGGGCTCTCTGGCATGAACTTCAGGGCCACCATGGACACAGTGCAGGGCAGAGCACAGACGATGACAAACACTCTCCAGCTATGGAAGTGGTAATTGGTCCCCATGCTGAAGCCCCAGCCTGCAAAGGAGCAGTCAGTCAAAGGATTTCTGGGACATGATCTTTTCCTCTACAGAAGAGTGACTCTGAAGCCCTGCCTCACAAACTTCAGGGCACAAGATAATCACCCAGGGAGGTGGTTAAAATGCAGACTCCTCAGCTGTGCCTCCAAAGCTTCTGAGTGGTAAGTCTGGGATAGGAGCTGCATCTTGACAAATCTGCAAAATGATATTTCTCACATTGCAAATTTGTCAAAATCTGCATTCTGACAAATCCCCAGGTCCAGGCCTGGCCTGACATTTACAGAGCCTTGGATAAGAGTACAAACAGAAGCAATAGGCCATATCTCTATAGAATCATTGTATTTTTAAGATGGCAAATTGTTAAATGAAATCTATTCTATCTGCCTGCCTTGACAAGCAACAAGCTAGAAGTCTAGGCCCAGAATTTATACCCATATGTGCCACATCCCCTTTTCAATCCCTCAACCCCTCCTTCCAAGTGAGGGATCTCATGCAGACATACGTGGACACACCACTGTGATGAGAATGGGCACTCCTGTCTTGATTTCTTGAGTCTACAGGAATTCCTGGGTCCTGAGCACCCACAGCAAAATCTGGATGGAGATGGGGATGGGGGTCTTGGCCTCAGAGATCCCTTGCCTCGCGGGAAGGGGTGCAGCCAGAGGAAGGCCAGAGCAGTGCCTCATACGGCCCAGGGCTTCTATTGGAGATCCCTCTTTCCAACGTCAAAGGGCAATGCCAGCTCCAGGTGATTCCAGTGCAAAGGGTTCAGGACCCCATTTTGAAAAACACTGTAAGTTGTTATATGACTACACAATTTTTTAAAATGAGAGACTGAACTTCTACATTCAAAGGCATCCTATCATCATTGAAATGGGAAGATAACTAGCTCCTATTCAATCATCATTATTGAAAGCATTGCTAAAACTCATCTTCAGAAATTACATTGAAGCATTGTTTTGAATATCCTCATGGGTAGCAAACTTCCCTCTTTTAAGTAATGAAGTGAAAAGAGCCTAGACTTTTGCAGTCACAGAGATCAGAGTTCTGGTCTGATCCTATGGAATCGCATTCGTGGGTTTTCACAGCTGTAGAATACAGGTAATGATACCTCCATAGATTAGTCATGTGTGAACGCTCCTAGCAACCCATCATACTTCACCTGCTTTGAGAGTACATTTGATTTTTTTTAGAAATAGCTCCATGACATTTAGTGCCAAGGATGTTGAATAAAATAGATAAATATCAGCAAAGATCAGCAGAAGAATTTTAAAAAAAATAGAGCCGAGATTATAAAATAGACTGATTTTCTCATGCCATGAAGTATTTCTGAAGACAATTCAAATTGTATTTGTGAAAGACAAGACTATGTAAATAAATATATCGATTTATAAAGTTTAGAGGGCAATAGTTATTTTGATATAAAACTTCTATTTCATTTACTTAGAAATATAACATATGGCCAACTCCAGTGGCAAACAGCTTGCCTTGAATTTTTATTACTCTGTTGTGGTTCAACTTGTTCTACACGCAGCAGACTCTTAACCAATTATCTGCTGTTCCTGCAGACATTTTCTACTCTATTTGTACAATTAAAAGACTAGGTAGAGGGAATCCCAGTTTGGAAATGTGGGACTGTGGTCCCTTGGACACCTTTGGCCACAGCAACTGAACACACACCTCATCCAATACACTCAATCAGAATCGAATCTCTTTTTGCACAGCTTGGTCTCTTATCATCTCACTGAGGCTTGTTCGTTCACTTTAATTTTAATTTAAAAACCTTTTCTTTCTCCTGGGAGTAACACTAGAAAGAGGGAGATAAAACCATAGCAATATTTACACATTCTCACCTCATGTGCAAAAACTATTCTGGCATCATTAGAAGTAAAGGTGATCAAAACCACACAGCAGTCAAACTCAGATGGATAACCAAGGAAGAGGGGCAGAAGCAGTTATGTTTATAAAGTATTCTGCTTCAAAAAGATCTTTTTCTTTATTATAATATGCACAAATTATACAAAATCCATTATTCCCTCACACCTCTCTGACTTTTATGGTGATTTCAGTAATCTGCATTTATCACATTCATTAGGCACATCTTCGGGGCCTTAAATTAAATAAAATTAAATGGCAAACTGCTTCCAAATATTTGGAACAGTATTAATTTGGAGGAAGAGATTGTTCTGTTTGCTGATCTTCTAGCTTGCCCTACTTTTCTCTGTCAGGATTTCACAAACAGCTGGTAATGCTGACTACAATGGGAATTAGTCTTGCATAATATATCCATTTTTTTCTGAGCTTTACCCATGAGTTCACAGGAAAACATTCTGAGCTTTGTAATTTTCTTTCTCAATGAGCCAGTCACTCAAATTCCTGGTGCCAAGACTTTCCCTTACTTCAGTTTTGCAAAATCAATTAAACAGACTACACAAGCTGTACACACAAATATCAGTCTCTTCTCTAAAGTTACACTTGCATTTGTTAGAGGATTAATGCATTAGGCACATTGGAAAATACCATCAAATGTCTGGTTCACCGTGGACAAAACATCTGAGGCTTAAGGTAAATAATGGCTCTTGTTACACTGTGATTCTAGCCTACCATATTTTCTAGGATGGATTTCCCACAAGTGAATGCCTGTTTCAATTAAGCCTATCATCCAGGAGGCTTCTGTTTTAAAATGGAGTATAAAAGTCACAGATATCATACAGGCATACACATAGGGAAATGTCCTGTCCATCTGGGGTAAAATAATTTTTTTAATTTTTTTATTTCCACAGGTTATTGGGGAAGAGGTAGTGTTTGGTTACATGAGTAAGTTCTTTAGTGGTGATTTGTGAGATTTTGGTGCACCCATCACCCAAGCAGTATACACTGCACACAATTTGTAGTCTTTTATACCTCACCCCCTTCCCACCCTTTCCCCAAGTCCCCAAAGTCCATTGTGTCATTCTTACGCCTTTGCATCCTCATAGCTTAGCTCCTACTTATGAGTGAGAACTTACGACGTTTGGTTTTCCATTCCTGAGTTACTTCACTTAGAATAATAATCTCATTTGGGGTAAAGTATTTAACCACAAGCACTGCTGTCAGCCTGCAGTGGTCAGACAGTTACCATGGTGCCCCTCTGCCATGGACATCCCATCTATGTTGCTCAACATGTCCCAAACCTGAATTCTTTTATTGCTTTCCTAGAAATCAGACACTGACACAGTAGTGTGTGCATTTGCGTAAGTGTGTGTGTTTGTGAAGTGAAAAAAAGATGCAGTTTGTAGTGACTATTGTGGGTTGCTAGCTTCCCTCACAACATCCTCCTGCCTTTTCTTCACCACTGCGTTGCACACCTGTGGTTTCGGTGGGACTGACCCTATCCCTAGGGACAGAAGTGGATCTAAACCCTTCTGGACCTGCATCCCCTGGTGTATAGTGGTTGGCTGTGGTGGACACATGACCAAGGCTGATCCAATCAGAGGGAAATCAAAGACCCTTTCTCATTGGTCGAGTGTGAGGGTGGCCTTTCCCCATGAAACAAGTAGTCTGCAAATAGAAAGCCTGGTATTGCTAATGCTTCCAGGAGGGAAGTTAGCCTGAGTACTAGAATTATCCTGGAATTTTTCTCAACATTAATTCCTCTGTGTACCCCAAGAATTGCCAAAGGTTCGGGCTGGCAGGTATATCTACAGCTGATTCTTTTTGTGTCCTTTCTCCCCTCCATTTTACAGGTGAGGGAACCCAGGCTGAAAAGATGGATTGACTTGTCCCATATCACACAGCACCACTATTTGGATTCAGCTTTTATTCAGATGTAAGTTGCTTCCCTCCATAAAAGGGTTTTCAATCACTTCATTTAAATGTGAAAATAGGCCGGGCACTATGGCTCACACCTGTAATCCCAGCACTTTGGGAGGCTGAGGCGGGTGGATCACTTGAGGTCAGGCGTTGGAGACCAGCCTGGCCAACATGGTAAAACCTCGACTCAACTAAAAATATAAAAATTAGCTGGGTGTGGTGGCTCACACCTGTAATCCCAGCTACTTGGGTGACTGAGACACGAATATTGCTTGAACCTGGGAGGCAGAGGTTGTAGTGAACTGAGATCATACCACTGCACTCCAGGCTGGGTGATAGAGCGACACTCCGTTTCAGAAAAAAAAAAAAAAAAAAAAAGTCCTTAGTATTCAAAGTCCTTATAATCCCTTAGTATTCAAACATTTGGATCAACTAACAGGGAAAATGATATTATATCAAGAATTGTGAGGAAAAAAAGGAAAAAAAAGCAATGCCTCAAAACCATATAATCAACAGCATAGTACATGGGCAATTAAAGTGTGCATTTGAGTGAGGGATAAATTGCAGAACCTGATGGTAGCAGCAATACAATTTTGTATCTAAAATTATGGAGAACTAGAGTGACAGAATTGACTGGACCTGCATCCCCTGGTGTATAGTGGTTTATTTTACTATTCCTTTATTTCACTATTCTTTATTTCACTATTCCTGTTCATATTTATCCTGTTTCTGATATATTTCAACTCTTTATTTCACTATTCCTGTTCATATTTATCCTGTTTCTGATATAAAATCCAGTGAATTCTCAAGTGCTAGATATGGTAAAGACAACAGGGTCTTCCCAAAACCACTTCCTCTACTTTGTGGGCACACAGCTCGATTGTTACCCAGTGTCCCTTGCAGGAGGGTGTGGGCCTGTTACAGATCAGGGGCCACTGGAATATGAGCAGAGATGGTGAGTGTGCTCTACTTCCTGGCCTTTACCCAGTCTACAACTGCCCAGTCTCTTTCCCCAAACCAGAGACCTTGTAAACTGTGTGTTGAAGATGACAGAATGACACAATGGAAGGAGTCTAAACTCCAGAATTTTCGATGGAGTGGAGCCACTTGCAGATCAGGAATGCCAGCCGGACCTCGCATAAGGGAGAAGCTTTCACTGTGTTAAAACACTGAGATTTCAGGGTTTATCAGTTTGTCAGGGTAATGTACCCAGTAACAGCTTAACTAATATAGTAGGTACTGTCTAAACCAAAGCTTGTTCTTAAAAAGGTATACATGGAGCCTCCGTGAGCCTCCATTAGCTCAGAAAGCACAGCAGAGAGGGTCGTATTTAAAACAAGGCAATAAATAGGTGGTAAAGTGTCGGTCAGCTTCAGGGGCAAGTGTCTGCTACCCCCTCGGGGTCTGAGGATTCTAAATCACTGCTAAACCTATACTCATAATCAGTGATTTACCAAAAATGATTTTGAATGATGATGAGAGTATTACTCAGTATACTCCAAAAGCAGAATCAAAGTCAAAATTGCTACCTTCTCCCTACTTTGCTCTTGACGAAACCAGTAGTAAAAGTTGATGTTTCCATGTCTCTGTCCAGAGAATACAGTGCTTACAATTATCCAGGAAAATAAAATTGTCCCAGCTGAAACCATGACCTTGTCTATAAGGGCTGCTGCACTTCCACAGTCAAACAAGAGTGACAGCAGGCACTAGGGTAGAAAGAGTACAAGCCTACCGCACCTGAGGGGACATCAGGACTCCAGCCCCCACTCCACCACATGCCAGGGACATGGTCTTGAGCGAGTCACCAACTTCTCTTGGCTTTTGTCGCTTACCTGTCATCTATAAAATGAGGTTACCAAAGCCTAACTTGCTCAGGGGGAGGAGGGCTGGAGGAGATGAAAGTTGAAATTATTTCAAATAAAAGTAAGGAAACAAGAAAAGGAGAGAGGGAAGGAGACAGGGAAGAATGAAGGAAGGGAAGGAAGGAGGAAGAGAGGGAGGACAGGATATATTTTTCAAAAAAGACATGTGAATTGAAATTAACAATGCGTCTGCAATGTTAGAAGTTGTTAAGAAAGATCAAGGTCACATATGGGAACTGTGCGTGAGTACATGAAATAAGGCTGAGGATAGGGACTATTGTTTGGATGCAGGAGCCATAGAAACAGGGGCCCCTAGGCTGTTTTGAGCCATGGCTCACCATAGTGTGGAATGATGCTCCAGGCCATGGCAGATGCGTAGAGGCCCCCAGTCATCCAGAAGATGCCCAGCCAACTGAGGTGTTCTCCTCGCTTCTCCCGAGACAAGAATTCAGAAAAATAGGCAAAAACAATTGGCAGAGCACCCCCAATACTGCAGAGGGAAAAGTCCAGAGAGAAAGAATCAAGTCATACACTAAAAATGGTCACAGCAGAAACCAAGTTGCCTATACCCCACCTTAGACTCTGTGGTGAAATGACCCAGTTAATTTGAGGGACCAGCCAGGTAGTTCCTCTCTACATGTGGGAAGCAGTCTTGGATTATTTTGACACTGCATGCTGACTTCAGAGGCTAATCCTAACCCTAACTCTTTCTAAGGTTCAACTTTAATATGGTATCCTGAAAGTCAAACACAAACTCAATCAGTCCAAGGGTTTCTGGAGTTATCTCTCAGAGCTAGAGTACCAGAATGGATGGGCCATTGGTCTGGGAGGGTCCAGCTCCAGCTCCCTAAGAACATACCCGATGCCTGAGATGAGTCGGCAGAAGAGGAAGGCTCCATATCCCTGCACGAAGGAAGAGAGGGAGGCGAAGGAGGCATTGACGGCCAGAGACATGCTGAGGACTCGCTTCCTTCCCAGCTTATCAGCCAGGCCTCCCAGGATGAAGGCCCCCGCCATCATTCCCAAGTAGACTATCATCCCTGCAATGAGGGGAAGGAGGGGCGAGAATAGAGAGAAAAGACAAAAGATTAGATTCTATATAATGTTTATAAAATACAGTGTTCATTTTTACTTATCCTAGAATTTCTGTGTCATAGACACAAAATGGTGGAATGTGATATTTGTGGCAAATTAGAAGTACTATACAAATACAACTTTTTACAAATGTTATCTTAAAAATGGCCTTACCAGGTTTATACACATGTACACAGACTAACGCATATCAACCAAAACTGAGATAGCTGTAAGACCACCCATTTAGGTGCATCATCTGCAGACAAGGGAAATGCTGCAATTTTTTAAGCAAGGAAAATGTTTGTGTTGCAAAAGCCCTCAACTGGTAGATTATGTTTAAGGAGAGAATTTCCAGGGTAAAGTGTGGCAAAGTGGATATGGGAAATGTTAGGAAGGAAGAACATGGTAGAAGTGAAAAACAGCAATTGAAAGCAACGCCAGCTATGTTATTACCACCCAAGAAGGACCTTTCTTCAAGCTACAACCAATGTCTAGGCTTAAGGAAATGTAGCATATTTGTATATGGTGTGAGATAAGGGCCCAGTTTCACTCTTCTGCATGTAAAATCCAGTTTTCCCAATGCAACTTATTGAAGAGACTGTTTTTCCCCTATTGTGTGTTCTTGTCACTTTTGTTGTAAATCAATTGACCATAAATGTGTGAATTTATTTCTAAGCTCTCTATGCTGTTCCATTGGTCTATATGTCCGTGTTTATGCCAGTACCATTTTTTTAAAATCACTATAATTTTGTAGTATATTTGAAAGCAAGTAGTGTGATGCCATCAACTTTGTCCTTTAGCTCAAGACTGCTTTCCCTATCCAAATCTTTTGTGGTTCTATATGAATTTTAGGATTTTTTTTTCTATTTCTATGAAAAATGCCATTGGAAGTTTGATAGGGACTGCATTGAATCCGTAGATTACTTTGGGCAATATAGATACTTTAACAATATTAATTCTTTCTATTCATAAACATGGGATATCTTTCCATCTATTTGTGTCTTCTTCTATTTCTTCGTCAATGTCTTACAGTTTTCAGTATAAAGACCTTCATTTCTTTGGTTAAATTCATTCCTAAGTACTTTTTAATGTTATCGTAAATGAGATTGTTTCTTAGATTTCGTTTTCAGATACTTCATTGTTAGTATATAGAAACACTACTATTTTTTATGTTGGTTTCTCATTTTGCAACTTTACTGAATTTGTTTATTAGTTCTAACAATTTTTTGGTGGCATCTTTAGGGTTTTCTATGTATAAGATGCCATCTGCAGAAACCATTTTACTTCTTCATTTCTGATTTGGATGCCTTTTATTTCTTTTTCTTGCCTAATTGCTCTGTGTTGAATAGAAGTGGCAAGAGTGAGCATTCTTGTCTTCTTGCTGATATTAGGGGGAAAGCTTTCAGCTTTTCATTATTGATTATGATTGTCAGTTGTGAGCTTGTCATACATGGCCTTCTATACCTAATTTGTTGAGAATTTTTATCATGAAAAGATGCTGAAGTTTTGTCAAATGCTTTTTCTGCATCTATTAAGATGATCATATGATTTTTATCCATTATTATGTTAATATGGTATATCACTTTTATTGATTTGCACATGTTTAAACATCTGTTCATGCCAGGCACAAATCTCACTTGATCGTGGTGTATGATCCTTTTAATGTGCTGCTGAATTTAATTTGCTAGTATTTTGTAGAAGATTATTCCATCTGTGTCCATCAGGAATATTGACCTGTAATTTTCTTTCCTTGTAGTGTTCTTCTCTGGCTTTGGTATCAGAGTAATGCTGGACTTGTAAAATGAGTTTGTAATATTCCTTCCCCTTCAATGTTCTGGAAGAGTTTGAGAAAGGTTGGCATTAATTATTCTTTAAATGTTTGGTAGAATTCAACAGTAAAACCAGCAGGTCCTAGGCTTTTCTTTGTTGAGAGGTTTTTGGTTACTAATTCAATCTCTTTAGTCATTACTAGTTTGTTAAGATTTTCTATTTCTTCACAATTGAGTCTTGGTGGATTGCATGTTTCTAGGTATGTATGCATTTCTTCCAGATTACACAACTTGTTGTGTGTAACTTTTCATAATAGTATCTGTGATCCTTCATATTTCTGTGGTATCAGTTGTAATGTCTTCTCTTTCATTTCTGATTTTATTTGAGCCTTCTTTTTCCTTAGTCTAGCTAAAAGTTTGTCAGTTTTGCTTATCTTTTCAAAAAACCAGCTCGTTGCTTTAACTATTACACTTTGCTGCTCTTTATAGATAGCGTTGGTTAGATTCCTTCGCTCTACGTTAGTCCATTCTTTCTTCATCTGCTCACCCCCAGTATTGCTTGCCAAGTGAGGAATGGTTCCATCCTTTCAAGGAGATAAACAATAAAATGTAAGATTATCTCTGAGTGAGAAAAAAGGTGCCCAATAAAGATATCTGTCAGGTATTATTAAAACCCAGAAGAAGAGCAAACCTTGGATATAATTCACTCAATGTGGGAAGACTTCCAAGAGAAAGACGTTGAGCTGTTCTTGAAAGACAAACAGAATTTAGTCTGATTTCCATTTGGTGACTGAGGCAAAAAGGAAGTCTGATATGTTTGGGCAACTTCTGGTAAGTGGCCTAGCATGAGTACAGCATAGTTCATGTAGGGGAACCTGATGAGGGTTCAGGCTAGAGGGTAGGACAGAAGCCAGATCATAAACGTGTGTGTGTGTGTGTGTGTGTGTGTGTGTGTGTGTGTGTGTGTGTGTGAAAATGTAGATGTATGGATGCATGCATGTGTGATTGTGTGTGTGCACATGGGTGTTTGCATGTATGTGTATGGGCCCATAAATTGAAAGCAGGAAGAGCGAAAAGAGACTTAGAGGAGTGGTCCAGAGATTTGCTGAGAGCTAGTCTCTATAGCCCATACCCTGATTCCACCCTAGAGAAAAGCACTAGCATCCAATAAAAGTCTGTTTTTTCTTTTACTTCAATAAAGCTATCTTCAGCACTTCTCAAACTTTACTGTGCACATAAATCACCTGGGGATCTTGTCAAAATCATATTCTGATGCAGCAGGCCCGAGAACGGGCCCTGGGATTCTGCATCTCTAACAAGCTGCCAGCTGAGGCCAGTGCTGCTGGTCTGGGGACCACATTTTGAGTAGCAAGAGGCTGGAGCACATCTGTCCTCCTGTAAACAGTAAACAGTGATGAGAATCCAGGCCTTAGAACCCAAAGATCTCATTCACTAGTTGTACAATTTGGGAGCAAAACCTCTCACTTTCTGAGGGTATTAATCACCTCATTTATAAACTGATTACTGAACTAGAGATGATCTCCAAGTTGCCTTCCCATTCATTAATTTTACATTAATTTTTTTAAAATGTAAATAATGAAAGATGAAGTACTGTGGATTTCCCAGGAAGAAGATATTCAGATTAAAAACATAAACTCAGACACAAATGTTTGATTAGACTACTTACGGCCATACAAGGCATCTTTATGACATTGTACACATGGATCAAAATATCACAGGTGCTCCAAAACAGGTACAACTATGATAAGTCAATTTAAAAAGAATCAAATAACAATAATAAAGATCTCATTAACAAAAAAGTGGCTTCTAGCCTACCAGTTTGCAATCTTAGCAATGAACACTGTGCAGCTATGAAGTTATTGTCTCTCAGCTCCAAAGCCACCCGTGTAGACCTTACTTGGTTCACAAATCCCAGCCACTCTCTGCTAGGCTCTGCCAACAGAGGGCGCTAGAGGGAGGCTTCAGGGCTGGGGAAGGAAGAAAGGACCTGTCCTTTCTGTTCCTGTAATTTCACCCTGACTGCCGCAATTCCTTTCCAGACAGCAGCTGCATCCAATTAGCAGAAGCCACACTGCACTTCATTCTCCTCTCCAACACCAGCAACTGCCAGCCAGGGCCTCTCTTCAGAGGGCTGAGTTGCAGTTTCATGGAACCCCTTTTCAAGATTCTAAGTTATAATCATTCCAATCTCTTTCCTTTATTCTCCAAGCCCTAGGGGAGGCAGCTTCTCCCTGCATGTACTACCTCAGTGATACTTTTCAAAAGCATTTCAACCCGCCCTGTTAATAATTTTTACATTAAAATCTCTCTCTTCAAATAACTGGTATGATTTCTGTCTCCTGACTATCCCATGACTGATCTAGACACCTAGACAAATTGAAAAACTTTAGAACTAGTCAGATGTTGAATTCAACCCCTTAATTTTACCAGACGAGGAGGCTGAGCCCCAGAAAGGGTCTATAACTTGCCCAGAACCTCAGTGCTGGCCGAAGACCTGCTGGCACTGCATTTCTGGTCTCCTGGTTCCAGGCCTGGTGCTTTCACCACTAAACCTCACTGTCCAAGGCCATGGAGGTACCAGAGAGAATAAGAAGAGCTTTTCAAATGCTGTCTTTGAAGTCTAGGAAAAGGAAGAATGAAGGAAAAATGAGCCTATCACCAGGGAAGGGAAATACCAAATTAACAATGTCTCTGGAATGGTTATGTTATTAGATTCATTTAAAATCTGTCTTTAGCAAAAGAAATTTTAAAAATACATTTGGAAAATTAGAGTGCAGTGGAGTTATCAAAAATTACTTTAGTGTGAAGCAGATAAGGAACTAGTTAGAAAGCTAGAAATTCAATCATCCTTCAATTTCACTCAGCAAGCTCAGTGGCATATTAGGGAAATGACCCTAATATACTGAGATTTTTGAGGAAATTGAAAACCAGGATTGCTACTTGCAGAGTAGAGGAGGAGGAGGAGGAGGAGGAAGAGGAGGAGGAGGAGACTGAAAGGAGGAGGGATGTAGCGGAGTGGAAGAGACTTTTAGTTGGTGGTAACACAACAAAGGAAATAGAATACCCCTCCTTGGAAGAGGGAGGAGCCTGCAGTGACAGGCATCAGGCAAGAAAGATCCCAATTCTGAGACTGAGACATCTGGGCCATGGTCCTGGCTCCATGATTACCACAGCATGACTGTGGGCTGCCCATTCAGCCTCTCTGACCATTATCACATCTTTGTAAAATTCAGTGCTCATCTTCGCAGTTGTTAGGATTATACAGGGGAGTGGATTTAAAGTATCTAGCAAAATGCCTGGCACCAAAGTAAATGCACAATTAATAAAAGCTGCTATTGATATTATTAGCAGTACAACTTAAAATTAGGACCCTGGAAAGCCACAGGATTAGAAAAATAAAAATAAGATGGTGATATTTTAAAAACAAGTCAATCATATACGGAAGGAATATGAGGAAAGAGGATACAGAATAGCAGAGGAAACTTATTTTTAGTAGTATGCCCTTTAAATGTACCTCCCTCTCGCCTTACCTGGAGAAGGAGCCAGGTTCCAATAAAAAGCTTTTTTGAAAAATATTTTTGAAGTTTCCTCTAACAAGACTTTGAAGGGGGGGAATTTTTTTTTTTTTTTGCTAACTCAGATTTCTTCAGTTCCCACGTTAAATTTTATCTCCTTAGAAAGGCATCCCTGATGTTCCAAACTAAGGCTCCACTAACTTTTTCTATAAAGCGATAGAGCATAGATATTTTACTTGTAAAATGTACTTTGCCAATCTTCTATGGTCTCTGTCACATCATCTTATTATTCCTAAGTTTACAGCCCTTTACGAATGTAAAAAAAATAAAAAATAAAAAATAGGTCACAGGTTTGTAGGCCATAGTTTGTTGGTTCCTGTTCCAAATTTCAGTTGCCCCTCATAGTCTTTTGGCAGTGTACCATTGCTTTTCCTTTGTATCGCATGTCTCTAGTTGATATTGTATATTTATTTGTTTGATATTTGCCAAACTCCTGTGACTGTAAACTCCTGGAGGAAGGGACCATGTTGATTTTGCTTGAGCAGAGTTCGCCACTGTTTCTCTAGCACAGAGGTGTACACGTAGTGGGTACTCCATTAATATTTGTTCAACACATAAAATAATATAAAAGTAATTCCTATTCACTGTAGGAAAATCTGAAGAATATCCCCCAAAACGTATAAAAGGTAAAGCAAAAATCTATCCATCATACCACCACTCAGAGACAGCTGTTAGCAGCCTTTATTTTTGTATTTGTATTCGTATGTGTATAACTACATACTGTATTTACATGATAGAAACCTTTTTCTATTGAAAGCTTCGTAGTCTAGCTTTTCGCTTAATAAACAACTCAGCAAAGAATATTTTTTGCATATGTCTTTGTTGGTGTTTCTAGTTATTTGTTCAGAATAGATTCCAAGAAATTGAATCATGAGATCGAAGGAGATTAACAAGTTTGTGGCTCTTGAGACACAATGCCAAATATCCCTCCAGAGAGCTGGCAGATATCAGAAACCTCTTTCCAGCTTTAGAGATGCTTTTCACACCGACAGAGTATTTCCTCTCCACACCAGAGGCAGCAGGATAAGATGTACTATCAGACCACACTGGCTTACCATGGTGACATGAAAGCAGAGGCCCTGCGTGGGTGAGCTTCTTTATTTAGCAATTAACCAAAGACAAAGAAGACACTTCTAGCCTTTTTCTTGCTTGAATATGTAGAAATTAAATGCATTCATTATCCTGAGAGGATTATGAGCTTCTTTTTCCTGCAGCGACTCAAATATTTATTTGACTATGCATATGCTTCCCAGGGATAAAAATCAGCGTCTTCCAACTAAACCATCTCCATTCCATCTATAATAACATCTCTAAAAAGTAATTCCTGTCATTTCCATTCCATTTATTTATTACTCAACCAAATATACCCCCCTTGGAGGGTAATATTCTCTTGGACTAGCACGTGGGGTTCACAGTCCCTCAAAGTGGTAAATGTGATAAATGTTTTAACATATATGGGAATCCCACAAAGAACTCTCACTTTGGTATTAAATCATGGAGGAACATCAGGGTATCCATTTGCACACCCTATGAAATAAGACGCACTGGGTAAGTCAGTCAGGTGCTTTGTTTATGTGGCATCTGGATGCTTGGAAACTTCTGGATGAGTAAACATTTTATTTTGGGTCAAAAAGGTTTGGCTTGAACACGTCATCTAGTGGAAACTAATCTAGAATCACCATGTTAGACTTTTCTAGTCTTTTATGGGTCCAGTAAACTCAAGTGAATGAATCTTCAGAAGTGGGTTAACTCGTCCATTCTCTTGGTAGTTGGAACTGTTTCCTAAATGTCACATAAGATATTTGGATACAAATGTGTAGAGGAGAAATGAAGGGACAAAAGAATTAGCATTTGTTGATCTCCTGCCATATGTAAGATAGTATGATAGGTCACATGTCTAATAATTTCAATTTGTCATTCCAACCTTGTGAGGGAGGTACTAATGGCTTCATGTAACAGATGAAGAAACTGAGGTTAAGAGATTTCCTCTCTGACCACAATTATTAAAGTGTAAGTAAACTTTCCCAATATCTGATGAAAGAACCTAGGATTATAGTTGAGTGAGTCACCAATGCCCCAAATTATGACATAGCCCATGAGGAAAGATACACCAATGCTCTTCAAGGACAGCAGGGTTGGGGTGAGGCATTTGTCACTCTGCCTGAGGATGCAACATTCTCACTCGCCCTGGCCTCTCAGCTCAGGGCAAACCACAGCACAGCAGAAGAGCAAAACCACCCCTCCTGGAAGTTCTAGATTCTGAATGTGTCTAATAGGCCCAGAGGTGAGGGTCTATAGGCAGATCGGAGAGTCTGAGAGACAGAAGCCCCTTGCTTCAGCAACATTGTGTAAGGACAGAGCCTTAAATCAGGAAGAGGTTCTCTCTCCAACTATATACAGGAGATACTGAAGACTTTGCCTGGCAGCCTAGAGACTTTATCATCACAGGAGATGGATAGCCAAGATGAAACCATGAGACAACATTCTGGGCCAAGCAGTGAGCAATGAGGAGACCCAGACCTCAGGGTCCTGGCTGTGTCTTTGGTGAGTAGAGACATATCCACAGCCACAGTGGAAGCAGCTGCAACAGAAAGGATTTAAGACATTAGGGAGGTTTCTGACTGGGGCTCACCCTAGCCTTGGGGCAAACGAGTATCTGTCACTTTCCTTAATCTTCTCTCAAGCGAAAAAGAAGAGGCATTAAGAAAGATTCCCTGAGGATACTGCAAGAACACTGAAATTGCCTTGTTTGCATACCACTACACTAGAGATGTTTCAGAAAAGCCGCTTCCCTTTTGGTACCTCCTATCCAGAATGACTCCAGGTAAGACGGGTGAGAGGAGGTGTCATCTGGGCCAGTGGAGGTATGACATCTCTAATAGCTCTCCTGGGCACTGTGGGCATCTCAAATAGGATCATAACCCAATGAGGCTCAGTGATGCCTCTGCCATTTCACTTAAGACCAAGTTGTGGTCATTTCTAGAGAGTGGAATATTGTGTCTGATGAGATATAGGAGTAGTCCAGGGGTCTCACAAGAGGGCAAAAGCAGAAGCCAACAGGGCCCAGGCAGGTTATACAAATGGGTGATACTTCCAGGCATCCCTAATAGGGAGTGTGGTGACTGAGGAATACATGTCCATCTAAAGGGAGCAGCCACCACCTAACTTCAGCCAACTGCTACGTTACAGAAGATAGACCCTATTCCTACGGTTTCAAAAAGAACCAGAAATCTAGATTGCTAAATAAAATCTCTGAGTTTTAAAACACTACTAGCCAAACAGTAGTCTCACCTACTATTTGAGAACCCTGTGTGACAGAGATTTGTGCAGGCTTGAATAGTATGTTTAGAAAATAAGTATTCATATTAAAAAAAAAAAAATAGGCAACTCCGGGGTCAAATCTCTTAATCCTATGACAGTTACTGTTAATCTGCTATTGACCCTTTTATCAAGTATTGAGCAACCCCTGGATACTGATGTCCTATGCTCTCTCCCACTTCAGAGTCTTCACACTGCTCTTTCCTCTATCTAGAATGTTCTTTGTTCACATCTTTGCATGGCTGGCTCCTTCTCATATTTCAGGCAAAATCTTAAAGAGGCCTTCACTGACCATCCATCCTCAACAGCCTCTCTCTCCAACAGGTGGAATCGTAAAGACCAGTTAGCAGGCCACCACGTGTGTTTCAAGTGAATGACACTGATGACTTGGACCAGGTGGGTAGGTAGAGGAAAGTGGTAAGAAGTGGCTGGATTCTGGGTGCATTTTAAAGGTGGTGTCTAGAGGAAGGGTGGTAATGAAAGCAGACAATGAACATGATCCCTGAAGAAGTGAGTGGCAATACACAAGAAATTCAAGGACTGAGCACTGAGACATTCCAACATTTAAAGGCCAGGAAGATGAAGAGAGACCAGTGATGGAGAACAAGAAGGAGCAGCCAATGGGCAGCTGGAAAACGATGAGACAGAGGTAGCTTAGATGTCCAATAAAGAAAGTGCATCAAGAAGGAGAGAGTGGTCAACAGTTGCAGTTGCTGTAAATAGGTGAATAAGCTGAGGATGAGAGCTGACTGCTGAACTGAGTCAGTGAGGCCAGTAGTGATCTAGACAAGAACAGGTTTCTGAAGAGGGAAGGATTAACTCCTGCTTAAAGATGCAATGTCCTCACTCATTCATCCTACTGAAAGAGGGTTCAAGTGAGAAGAGGAAGTGAGGAACTGGGTTCAGTTAATTTTACCAGAAAGGGAATAGAAAAGACATATGTGGGAATCAAGACTGAAGAAATGTGTGGTGTGCTGGTGGGAATGATTCCATAGAGAGAAAAATATTGATGAAGAGGAGTTGCAAAATGATGAGGAAAAGGATTGCAAAAGTGATGTTCTGGGGAGGTGAGAGGGGATGGGATACAGGGAGACCAGTGAGCCTTACAGCTCCTCCACGGTTACAAGAATACAGGGTCAGCACAGAGGCAGCGAGGAAGGTAGGTGTGATAGCAGGAGCTGTGGAAATTCTTCTCTGGTTGCTTCTGTTGTTCTAAGTTCAGGAGGAACTGAGTTTATTAATCCGAGAGTGAAGATGAGGAAGAGATGCTGGAAATTGGAAAATAGTAGGTAAGACACAAAATAACTATCGAGGAGAGAGTGAAGGGATGAGGGAAATGAAGGATGATGGCTGGCAGCACAGAGGATCTTCTGGAGGCTCTGGCTCATGAGTTTAGTGAGGCCAGTGGGCAACATTGTATGTTCTGTGTTCCTGACCACCCATATGCAGCAACAGGGTTTAGGGACAGACGGAAGAAAAGTTGGATGCAACCAGGGGTGGGGAACACAGCAGAGTAAGAGAGGTGCAAGGAAGCTGGTGATGTGCACAGGAAGTGACTGTGATTATGGACATGGACATTAAGCTCAGCGAGGAATGTGGTGAGAACAAGGGGGTAATAAGAGATTAAAAGGCTAAAGATTGGAGAGGACTTTAAGGAAATGACAGACCAGGATAATGGAAATCACTTATTAAAATCTCCAAGGACAATAATAGAAATACGGTTGGAATGTGACAGTGATGAACCTGGAACTAAAATTCTCCAGGAATGAGAACACATGGCCCAGGGGTCAGTGGATGACTGCAACCAGAATGTGTAGTAAGTGATAGTCTCTGATGACAAGAGATTCGAATATGAGATCTTTTAGTGAGGAGAGAGGGAGAATGGCCTGGAAATGTCCAGGGGGAGCAAGAAAGAGCAATGGTACAAGAGTGGAGGCTGTAATGGGGCAAAGAGCTAATTTTTGCATCTAAGGCTGCAGGGCTAATTAACATCCTCAGAGGAGAAGGGGGAAACATAGGGGAATGGAGGCATGTACAGTGCCATAGGGGAATGCAAATGTGGGTGGTAAGGGGTGTCCTGGCAGACATGAACCTCTCACGGTGATTGACATACGGGGATAAAGAGCATAATGAAATTAGTCCTGATCTTGGTGGCAAGGCTGGTAGTACTGGGGAGAAAAAATGCTAGGAAGCCTACCAAGAATACATTGAATTCTAGAATCTTCTTACTCCTGGCAGTGGAAAAATGGAAGTCAGAGAGAGCCATCTAGTTTTTTGTTTTGTTTTGTTTTGTTTTTTGGCTTTTTCTTTACTAAAATGTTGGCTCCATGATGGGACAGGAGGGACTTACACCTCTTGTTCATCAGTAAACAAGCCCGTGAGTAAGTTAACTCTTTAAGGAGCTATTGAATAAAGGAAAAATTAAAAATATACAAATACAAGCTCATATTTACTGGATCCTAACTGTGTGCCAGGACTGTGATGAGTCCTTTATGTGCTTTATCTTATTTAATCCTCACAATGCTTCTGAAGGCAGGTACTAATATATTTTAATCTCAGATTAAGAAACCAAGGTTAGGGAGGTTAAGTGACTTGTGTAAGATGATAGGGTTAGTGATGTAGCCAAGATAAGAAGTCAAACAGCCTACCTTTAAAAACCTTATGCCTGTGATAGACTCTGCTGGTCACGTTCCCAACAGCCTTTTTCCCTCTTCTTCCTTGCTAAGGGAACCCTGACTTTTGTTCACGTATTAAATGTGTTCAGAGAGATTGCCTCCCAAGACAAACTCAACTCTAGGGGATCAATCATAGTTAATTTAAGATGGTCATCTTCATCCACTTCTTCTTGCCAGTAATTAATCTAGGCAAGCCATAAGACTTGGTGGACACCTGCCAAATGATTGGAAAGTCATTATTGGGGGACATAAAGCTTAGAGCTATGGTGGCCATCTTGTGACCTCAAGGGAACGTAAAGAGAATCGCAGACATGCCAACCTCATGCCCTGACATCAGTGAGTCATTGAACCAACTCTGGTACTACCTACTTTGAAAATTCTTGGTCAATAAATAATGAGTATCTTCATGATTCAAAGCTATTGTTACCAGAAGCCAAATGCACCCTATATACATGCTGCCTCCTAAAAAAGAAACCATGCTGGCCGGGCGCGGTGGCAAGCCTGTAATCCCAGCACTTTGGGAGGCTGAGGCGGGCGATCAAAGTCAGGATGAGACAGTGAAACCGTCTTTAAAAATAAAAAATTGCGGGCGGGTGGCGGGCGCCTGTAGTACTAGGAGGTGAGGCAGGAGATGGCGGGAACCGGGAGGTGGAGCTTGAGTGAGGAGATCGGCACTGCACTCAGCTGGGCAACAACTGAGACTCCGTCAAAAAAAAAAAAAAGAAACCATGCTAATGAAAGATGATCTGATTGGTTTTTTTTTTTTTTTTTTTATTTTTTTAATTTATTTATTATTATTACACTTTAAGTTGTAGGGTACATGTGCATAACGTGCAGGTTTGTTACATATGTATACTTGTGCCTTGTTGGTGTGCTGCACCCATCAACTCGTCATTTACATCAGGTATAATCCCATGCAATCCCTCCCCCCTCCCCCTCCCCCCTCCGCATGTTAGGCCCCGGTGTGTGATGTTCCCCTTCCTGAGTCCAAGTGATCTCATTGTTCAGTTCCCACCTATGAGTGAGAACATGCGGTGTTTGGTTTTCTGTTCTTGTGATAGTTTGCTAAGAATGATGGTTTCCAGCTGCATCCATGTCCCTACAAAGGACACAAACTCATCCTTTTTTATGGCTGCATAGTATTCCATGGTGTATATGTGCCACATTTTCTTAATCCAATCTGTCACTGATGGACATTTGGGTTGATTCCAAGTCTTTGCTACTGTGAATAGTGCCGCAATAAACATACGTGTGCATGTGTCTTTATAGCAGCATAATTTATAATCCTTTGGGTATATACCCAGTAATGGGATGGCTGGGTCATATGGTACATCTAGTTCTAGATCCTTGAGGAATCGCCATACTGTTTTCCATAATGGTTGAACTAGTTTACAATCCCACCAACAGTGTAGAAGTGTTCCTATTTCTCCACATCCTCTCCAGCACCTGTTGTTTCCTGACTTTTTAATGATCGCCATTCTAACTGGTGTGAGATGGTATCTCATTGTGGTTTTGATTTGCATTTCTCTGATGGCCAGTGATGATGAGCTTTTTTTCATGTGTCTGTTGGCTGTATGAATGTCTTCTTTTGAGAAATGTCTGTTCATATCCTTTGCCCACTTTTTGATGGGGTTGTTTGTTTTTTTCTTGTAAATTTGTTTGAGTTCTTTGTAGGTTCTGGATATTAGCCCTTTGTCAGATGAGTACATTGCAAAAATGTTCTCCCATTCTGTAGGTTGCCTGTTCACTCTGATGGTAGTTTCTTTTGCTGTGCAGAAGCTCTTTAGTTTAATTAGATCCCATTTGTCAATTTTGGCTTTTGCTGCCGTTGCTTTTGGTGTTTTAGACATGAAGTCTTTGCCCATGCCTATGTCCTGAATGGTACTACCTAGGTTTTCCTCTAGGATTTTTATGGTATTAGGTCTAACATTTAAGTCTCTAATCCATTTTCACGATATGGATTCTTCCTATCCATGAGCATGGTATGTTCTTCCATTTGTTTGTGTCCTCTTTTATTTCACTGAGCAGTGGTTTGTTGTTCTCCTTGAAGAGGTCCTTTACATCCCTTGTAAGTTGGATTCCTAGGTATTTTATTCTCTTTGAAGCAATTGTGAATGGAAATTCATTCCTGATTTGGCTCTCTGTTTGTCTGTTACTGGTGTATAAGAATGCTTGTGAATTTTTGCACATTAATTTTGTATCCTGAGACTTTGCTGAAGTTGCTTATCAGCTTAAGGAGATTTTGGGCTGAGACAATGGGGTTTTCTAAATATACAATCATGTCATCTGCAAACAGGGACAGTTTGACTTCTTCTTTTCCTAACTGAATACCCTTGATTTCTTTCTCTTGCCTGATTGCCCTAGCCAGAACTTCCAACACTATGTTGAATAGGAGTGGTGAGAGAGGGCATCCCTGTCTTGTGCCAGTTTTCAAAGGGAATTTTTCCAGTTTTTGCCCATTCAGTATCATATTGGCTGTGGGTTTGTCATAGATAGCTCTTATTATTTTGAGGTACGTTCCATCAATACCGAATTTATTGAGCGTTTTTAGCATGAAGGGCTGTTGAATTTTGTCAAAAGCCTTTTCTGCATCTATTGAGATAATCATGTGGTTCTTGTCTTTGGTTCTGTTTATATGCTGGATTCTGTTTATTGATTTGCGAATGTTGAACCAGCCTTGCATCCCAGGGATGAAGCCCACTTGATCATGGTGGATAAGCTTTTTGATGTGTTGCTGAATCCGGTTTGCCAGTACTTTATTGAGGATTTTTGCATCGATGTTCATCAGGGATATTGGTCTAAAATTCTCTTTTTTTGTTGTGTCTCTGCCAGGCTTTGGTATCAGGATGATGTTGGCCTCATAAAATGAGTTAGGGAGGATTCCCTCTTTTTCTATTGATTGGAATAGTTTCAGAAGGAATGGTACCAACTCCTCCTTGTACCTCTGGTAGAATTCAGCTGTGAATCCATCTGGTCCTGGACTTTTTTTGGTTGGTAGGCTATTAATTATTGCCTCAATTTCAGAGCCTGCTATTGGTCTATTCAGGGATTCAACTTCTTCCTGGCTTAGTCTTGGAAGAGTGTAAGTGTCCAGGAAATTATCCATTTCTTCTAGATTTTCCAGTTTATTTGCGTAGAGGTGTTTATAGTATTCTCTGATGGTAGTTTGTATTTCTGTGGGGTCGGTGGTGATATCCCCTTTATCATTTTTAATTGTGTCGATTTGATTCTTCTCTCTTTTCTTCTTTATTAGTCTTGCTAGTGGTCTGTCAATTTTGTTGATCTTTTCAAAAAACCAACTCCTGATTCATTGATTTTTTGGAGGGTTTTTTGTGTTTCTATCTCCTTCAGTTCTGCTCTGATCTTAGTTATTTCTAGCCTTCTGCTAGCTTTCGAATGTGTTTGCTCTTGCTTCTCTAGTTCTTTTAATTGCGATGTTAGAGTGTCAATTTTAGATCTTTCCTGCTTTCTCTTGTGGGCATTTAGTGCTATAAATTTCCCTCTACACACTGCTTTAAATGTGTCCCAGAGATTCTGGTATGTTGTATCTTTGTTCTCATTGGTTTCAAAGAACATCTTTATTTCTGCCTTCATTTCGTGATGTACCCAGTAGTCATTCAGGAGCAGGTTGTTCAGTTTCCATGTAGTTGAGTGGTTTTGATTGAGTTGCTTAGTCCTGAATTCTAGTTTGATTGCACTGTGGTCTGAGAGACAGTTTGTTATAATTTCTGTTCTTGTACATTTGCTGAGGAGTGCTTTACTTCCAATTACGTGGTCAATTTTGGAGTAAGTACGATGTGGTGCTGAGAAGAATGTATATTCTGTTGATTTGGGGTGGAGAGTTCTATAGATGTCTATTAGGTCTGCTTGCTGCAGAGATGAGTTCAATTCCTGGATATCCTTGTTAACTTTCTGTCTCGTTGATCTGTCTAATGTTGACAGTGGAGTGAATTTGAAGTGTTCTGCCCATTATTATTGTATGGGAGTCTAAGTCTCTTTGTAAGTCTCTAAGGACTTGCTTTATGAATCTGGGTGCTCCTGTATTGGGTGCATATATATTTAGGATAGTTAGCCCTTCCTGTTGAATTGATCCCTTTACCATTATGTAATGGCCTTCTTTGTCTCTTTTGATCTTTGATGGTTTAAAGTCTGTTTTATCAGAGACTAGTATTGCAACCCCCGCTTTTTTTTGTTCTCCATTTGCTTGGTAAATCTTCCTCCATCCCTTTATTTTGAGCCTATGTATGTCTCTGTGTGTGAGATGGGTCTCCTGAATACAGCAGACTGATGGGTCTTGACTCTTTATCCAGTTTGCCAGTCTGTGTCTTTTAATTGGAGCATTTAGTCCATTTACATTTACATTTAAGGTTAAGATTGTTATGTGTGAACTTGATCCTACCATTATGATATTAAGTGGTTATTTTGCTTGTTAGTTGATGCAGTTTCTTCCTTGCCTCGATGGTCTTTACATTTTGGCATGTTTTTGCAATGGCTGGTACCGGTTGTTCCTTTCCATGTTGAGTGCTTCCTTCAGGGTCTCTTGTAAGGCAGGCCTAGTGGTGACAAAATCTCTAAGCATTTGCTTATCTGTAAAGGATTTTATTTCTCCTTCACTTATGAAACTTAGTTTGGCTGGATATGAAATTCTGGGTTTCTGCCGAGAGATCTGCTGTTAGTCTGATGGGCTTCCCTTTGTGGGTAACCCGACCTTTCTCTCTGGCTGCCCTTAAGATTTTTTCCTTCATTTCAACTTTGGTGAATCTGGCAATTATGTGTCTTGGAATTGCTCTTCTCGAGGAGTATCTTTGTGGCGTTCTCTGTATTTCCTGGATTTGAATGTTGGCCTGCCCTACTAGTGGGAAGTTCTCCTGGATGATATCCTGAAGAGTGTTTTCCAACTTGGTTCCATTTTCCCCCTCACTTTCAGGCACCCCAATCAGACGTAGATTTGGTCTTTTTACATAATCCCATACTTCTTGCAGGCTTTGTTCATTTCTTTTTCTTCTTTTTTCTTTTGGTTTCTCTTCTCGCTTCATTTCATTCATTTGATCCTCAATCGCTGATACTCTTTCTTCCAGTTGATCGAGTCGTTACTGAAGCTTGTGCATTTGTCACGTATTTCTCGTGTCATGGTTTTCATCTCTTTCATTTCGTTTAGGACCTTCTCTGCATTAATTACTCTAGCCATCAATTCTTCCACTTTTTTTTCAAGATTTTTAGTTTCTTTGCCTGGGTACGTAATTCCTCCTTTAGCTCTGAGAAATTTGATGGACTGAAGCCTTCTTCTCTCATCTCGTCAAAGTCATTCTCCGTCCAGCTTTGATCCGTTGCTGGCGATGAGCTGCGCTCCTTTGCCGGGGGAGATGCGCTCTTATTTTTTGAATTTCCAGCTTTTCTGCCCTGCTTTTTCCCCATCTTTGTGGTTTTATCTGCCTCTGGTCTTTGATGATGGTGATGTACTGATGGGGTTTTGGTGTAGGTGTCCTTCCTGTTTGATAGTTTTCCTTCTAACAGTCAGGACCCTCAGCTGTTGGTCTGTTGGAGATTGCTTGAGGTCCACTCCAGACCCTGTTTGCCTGGGTATCAGCAGCAGAGGCTGCAGAAGATAGAATATTTCTGAACAGCGAGTGTACCTGTCTGATTCTTGCTTTGGAAGCTTCCTCTCAGGGGTGTACTCCACCCTGTGAGGTGTGGGGTGTCAGACTGCCCCTAGTGGGGGATGTCTCCCAGTTAGGCTGCTCAGGGGTCAGGGACCCACTTGAGCAGGGAGTCTGTCCCTTCTCAGATCTCAGCCTCCGTGTTGGGAGATCCACTGCTCTCTTCAAAGCTGTCAGACAGACTCGTTTGCGTCTGCAGAGGTTTCAGCTGCGTTTGTTATTTTACTGTGCCCTGTCCCCAGAGGTGGAGTCTACAGAGACAGGCAGGTTTCCCTGAGCTGCTGTAAGCTCCACCCAGTTCGAGCTTCCCAGCAGCTTTGTTTACCTACTTAAGCCTCAGCAATGGCGGGCGCCCCTCCCCCAGCCTCGCTGCTGCCTTGCTGGTAGATCACAGACTGCTGTGCTAGCAATGAGGGAGGCTCCGTGGGTGTGGGACCCTCCCGGCCAGGTGTGGGATATGATCTCCTGGTGTGCCTGTTTGCTTAAAGCGCAGTATTGGGGTGGGAGTTACCCGATTTTCCAGGTGTTGTGTGTCTCAGTTCCCCTGGCTAGGAAAAGGGATTCCCTTCCCCCTTGCGCTTCCCAGGTGAGGCAATGCCTCGCCCTGCTTCAGCTCTCGCTGGTCGGGCTGCAGCAGCTGACCAGCACCGATCGTCCGGCACTCCCCAGTGAGATGAACCCAGTACCTCAGTTGAAAATGCAGAAATCACCGGTCTTCTGTGTCGCTCGCGCTGGGAGTTGGCGACTGGAGCTGTTCCTATTCGGCCATCTTGCTCCACCCCCCGATCTGATTGGTTTAAATAATCATCACTTAATGAGCAAACAGCAAGACAACTTGGCAGAGGGGAAAGAATTCTGTGCCAATAGTCAGGAGTCCCAGATTCTGATCTGAGAGTATGTGACCTTGACCAAGTCACTGTCTCCTTGGGGCTCAGTTTCTTCAAGTCAGAAACGAAGGGCCTGCTAGGAGGTCTCCTTCCTTTCTTTCGCTTCTAATATTAAATGGTACTATAATTTTGTAATTCATGCCTTATACCTTATAATCTGTTATCATGTCTCCTTTCAAGGACAAGACTCCCCTTTCTAGGACCCACAGAGAGGTGAGGGAGAGAGAACAAGGCAAGGACAAAACTTCTTTGGACTATTTTCTGCACATCCCCAGCAGAGATTGATGAATGCCTCTGAGTCAGCAAAATCTCCAGTGGTGAAATAGAAAGCGTACACTCTGCACATTCAGGCAGCCCAGGCCAGCCCACACGGAGAAGAGGATGTTCACATCCAGCCTGTTCAGTGGACCCCATGGGGCATGTCAAAGGCTATTTCATTTCCAGGACCTTCTATCACACCCCCTTTCTTCCATCCCTGCTAATATTTGTGACTTTCCAGCTTTCTTCTCTGAAATTAAAATAAATCCTTTGCAAAGTGAAATCAGTTCATCTGAGCTAGTGCTGGTTAAGATTTACAAAATAAAGAGGAAGTTTACACCCACCGGCCTCAAAGAGTCATTTTAGCCGGCAGTCATTAGCTCCACCGAGGACCCTAGTGTTCTCTGTCTGATAGCGTTGCTGGTGGAAGGGATGCGGGAAATTCTTTGTGCTCTGTTGCTCTGCTCCATACTTAGTGACGGATCATCTCTTGGGCCCCTGACACAAAGGATGGCAATGTCACCACTCAGCTCTCTGGCAGCCTCTTCTAGGCTGACAGTCTAGCCTCAGGGATCACTGCAGACCCCTGCAGTTTCCCCTTCCAATGAAATCAGCACCCAGCCTTTTACACCCGCTAGCTAGGACACAAACAACATCCCTCTCTCACCTACGGACATGGGCTGGTACTGACTCCAGCACCCTGATAGAGGCCAATGCCTACTTCACACTTGCATCTTATTGAAGTCATGCATTTTGCATAAAAGTTGTTTAAGGTTTTATGGGTAATGCACACCTGGAAACGTCTTCCAGGGATGGGACAGCAAGGTAAAGGAGAAGCAACAGACTTTGAAGTCAGATATAACTGGACTTTTCAAATCCTAGATCTGTCACTGACTAGTTTCTACAAGTTACTTTACCCTCTTAGAGTCTAGGTTTTCTCATCTGTTAAACAGTGAAAATGATGTTTGCCTTGCAGGTCATTATAAAGGTTAGAAATGGTATAAGATAAGATACCTAGTACAAAATGGATGCAAAGAAAGAGCTTATCAAATTGTAACTCTTGGTAGTGGTGGTAGTGGTATAATTATTATAATTTGCTTTTAAATTAGAAAAAAAGTAACACGTTATACAAGACTGTGTGAAATAATTGATTTATTCATATCAGTTTATTTTGCTTTCTATGAAGAAGTCTGTATGGGAGAAAATAAGCCTTTCACCTTCATTAATATAAAGGAACCCATAGTGACAATGAGTGGCAACACGGGATAGGAAAATCACATTAGGAACTGGAGTCCAGCACTCATCCCTTAAGGTCTCTGAGCAACACTGCCCTCATTGCATAAATACAGACTATCACTCTGCTCATCTCACAGAGTCATTTAAAGATCAAATAAGAGTGATTAGGAAAACCACCGAAAATCTATAAAGCACTGTACAAGATTTTTTAACGCAGTTCCATTTTTCCATGCTACCCAAGATATGTGCAAATATTCCAAACGTCATCACAAATACATGAAGGAAGCCACGCGGGGATAGTTCCTACTTTTTATATAGCATGATAAGCAAAAACCCTGACATCTCAGCAGCTCCTACTCATACATAGTCTTTGCATAAACTACCTGGTTCTCTACTCTGGCTGCACAATAGTATCACTAGGGAGCTATTAAAAAATGCATATGCCCATGACTCATCCATAGACATTCTGGCTTAATTATTCTAGAGCAAAGTCTGTAGTTTTTGTCAGCAGCTCCTCAGGTGATTCTATTGGGTAGTCAGGATTCAGGACATTAATCTAGTGCAGTGGTTGTCAACTGGAAGTGATTTTGCCCCCCAGGGGACATTTAGCAACATCTGGAGACATTTTTGGTTGTCACAGCTAGGAACAGGGTGCTACAGGCATTTAGTGAGTAGAGGCCAGGGATGCTGCTAAGCATCCTACAACGCAAAGGATAGCCCCTCAGAACATGGAATTGACCGGCCCAACATGTCAATAGAGCATGACTGAGAGGGCCCACACAGAGGACTCATTCTAAAGAAAGTCAGTAACTGACCATACTGCAGAAAAATAGCTCAGCAAAATTTCTGGTCTCACATGCTCTCCAGAACCTTGTCATTTCCTCCATTAGAAGATGGAGTCTATTTCTTCTCTTCTTGAAATTAAATTGGTTTTTATTACTATCTCAACAAATAGAATTCAAGGAAATAACATGCTTGACTTCCGAGGCAAAGTCACGAAAGGCTTCTGCTTGTCTTTCTCTCTCAAGATCTCTTTCCAAGATCTGCCCCTTTGGAAGCCCTAAGTCAACAGGTTAAAAAAAATCCAGCTACCCTGGAGCGGCCATGTTGGAAAGATTACATTTAGAGATCATATGGAGATGGAGAGAGATGTTCAAAAGAAGCCCCAGCCATCTGTGTCTTCCAGTCTGGGTACCAGATATTTGTGTGGGTGAGCCCTCCAATGATTCTAGCCCCCACCTTCCAGCTGCCCCAGGCAATGTCAAGTTGGACAGAGGCCAGGTGTCTGCCCAGGCTGCAGATTTATAAGCAAAGTAAATGGCCTGGTGGTTTTGGTTCTATGGGGAGTATATGTTTGTTTGCTTGTTTGATATGCAATAATAGATAACCAGAATAAAGTCCCTCATGATTCTATAAAAGATCCATCTCTAAACCCTCTTCATTGGGCCACCAAGGTCAAAAGCTTACATATACTTGTACAGGGAATGAGCTTTATATATTTCCAGCCCACACCCAACTCTGCAACTTCCACCTCCATTCTCAGTAAATATGCCAGTTTACTTAAGAGTTCCTCCCATTCATTTCTGTTGTGCTTTCTGTGGTCTGGAAGATCATATTTTCCAACATGTGGGTCAAGGGTCTTATGAGTCTTTTTTATTCTTGGTGAAGTTTTCCATTGTGGGAGCAAATATAAGTATAAATATAGGTGAATCAATACAAATAAATAAATAAGATATTTTTATTCTGATAATTAGCAAATTGGTAGTTACTAAACATCTTTCATTTACCAGGTCTTCTGGAAGAGTGCACTTAACTGTAGAGGAAAAACAACTCATTAAAGTCGTTGAAGGTAACATTGCCAAGGGAGATATTCTGCAGGCAAAGTGAACAGAATGTCCTGAGACATCCTTGCTCTAATCAATATTGAAACAACTGAGAAGCTAAAACATCAGGTTTTGCCATTGGATCAGGGGAGCAAGATGAGTACTGACTAAGCATCTACTGTGTGCAGATCCTGAGCAGAGTAGTTAGGGCAGAGAGCAGGGGTAATTTCATTTAATTTTCCCAGCATCCTTGGGAGCTAAGAACCATCCTCTACTGCCCTGTCTTTTCTCTCTCTTTCTGTCTCTCTCTCCTCCCTCTCTTTCTCTGCTTCTCCCTCTCTTTCCAGACATTACTCTTTATTCCCAATAAAACTAAAATCTACACAAGCTCCACATATCTTTGATTCAATCTTGATCAAAATCCAAGTAATAACTCAGAAACCGTAAGTTTTAACAAGGAGTTAATAATTTAAAGTTGTTGACACAGGTGCTTTCGTAATGGGTAGTAGGCTCTCTCCTTTGATGTTTGAATAAGCTGAAAGGCACAAAAAAATAGCAGTAGACAAGTGGGGAAAGCGTCACCTTCAAAGCTAAATCCACACTGAATCTGTATCTCACATGATAAAATGAGTGCTTTGTGTGCAAGACGTTCTCTTCAAGAGATTTTTTTTTTTAACTCCAGTGGTTTAATTGTGAAATTGCTCTTAATCTTGAGAGTACGGAGCTTGCTTTTCAGTTGGCTGGCTAGGTGGTTGGTTGGTTGATTGTAGAAAAATTTATTTCTATTCATTGTGCATTCTATTCATAGTCAACCCTCTGACTATGAATTCACTGACTGTATTATAATAAACACAACCCGCTGTGTAAAAGTGTAAATCTCTTGACGTTAAGAAGGGTTTTCTTCCTTGCATAAATTGTACAAGAAAATAATGGTGCTTATAGCAGAAATGTTTTTAAGGCCTACATTAAAAACCTCAATTCTTCAAAACACTCAAATGGCCTCTATTGTTACCTCTAAAGACTAGTTTAGGAATTGCATATTTCTTACTCCAATCACATTCTATAGGTTCTCCCACCTCCAGTCTCTCTCCTCGATGATCCTTTCTTCACCAATGTGGCGATTCTGCCAGTTGCTGAGGATGTCTGTTCTAATTATGCATTCCTGAACTGGGGAAATAACCACAGAACAAGTCTGGGGACCCACTGTGAGATGGACCTGAGCTAAAACTCCACTGATACCTGATCACCATAAGCTCCTACTCTGACTGATGGGCCACAGTGATGTTTTCAGTCTCTTGGAATTAGTGTCAGTTCAGAGCAAGTATCTTCAAAAAGTCTGACTATTTTCCTTTCCCTAAGGCACAGTCACCTAGTAAAAGCCCACAGGTCTCTTTGGGGAACACTGGGAGAAAGATTAATGGTATAAATTTTTGGCAGTGTACTGGGGTCCCTCCTCAAGGAGATTCAGCCTCCCTTTCATTCAAGTGGTTCTGGGTCTGTAAACTAGCTCAAGTCTGGGAATTGACCGAGAAGCCATGATGCTCTGTTTCTATATTTCATTAGACTTCTGTTCACTTGACCTAGAACTTTACTCTTATACAGATCAAGTAAGAGTTTAGTAGGCTTCCTTTTTATTTCATTTCTAAAAATGCCACAATTAACTAGCCAGTACCATAGGTCTACACAGGTCAGACCGTTCTGATTTCTGCTTTGCCTCTGCTGTCCACTACAGTAACCACACTCCCCTTGCCTTTGGTGACTGAGTGCCACCACTTGGCCCTTGCACCCTGGGATCCAATTATTCCCACTGCATTTAGGTGTTACAACTCAGTGACTACAGTCCACACTGGAAGGTCTGTCCCAGAGAGCACAGTAATCACAGACCTCTTTAAGGACACTAAGGATCCCCTCAAGAAACCCTCATAGTCATGGTAAAAGATGTGTTCTCTGAACCCTCTCAGGGTGGGTGAGTAGGTCTGAAATGAAAAATCCATCTAAGATGCAAATATTCCTAGGCCTTTCAATCCCTTCCTCTACCATAAACCAACATAGGTCTGGCATTTCAAGTTCATTTACTATGGGCCACATTTTGATCTACATTTCAGCCAACCAATGAAACAAACTGGTAAAGCTGCAACATTAAATGCAGAATTTCTGCTCAGTGGGCCCAAATCAATAAATTTAGCCTGACCCAACTCTATGTTTCTTCCACCAGTATCTCACACCCTTAATATCCATTCCTACACATATTCTCCAGATTTCTGTGTGTGTAAATTAGAAAAATCAAATCATTCTTTTGGAGTGTAGCCACCTCTTCATGGTCCACATGTTGTGCCTCACCTTTAGAGGCCTGATGGGACTTGAGTATAGTTATAGGTCTAGAGGCAAAGAGGGGTGGAGGGGGTGGGTCCTGATGAGAATCAGCAAGTCTTGCAAGGCAACTGCCTCAGGAGAGGCACTCACAGCCTCCTCAGTCACTGCAGAGTTCATCTTCTCTGAATAGGGGCAGAGAGGTTGCTTATATTGGCAAAAAAGACTCCTCAGAATTTAGGGGCTCAGTGTTCCCAGTTTCCTCAGTCTTCCCACACATCCCCATGCTGACT